ATGTGGTCCACTGGAGAAGGAAATGGCAACCCACTCCAGTATCCTTGCCAAGAAAACCCCATGGACAATGTTTGAGCATGAAACTGAGCAAACTCAGGGAGGCAATGAAGGACAGGAAGCCTGGCGCAATATGGTTCATGGGGTCACGAAGAGTCGGACACGACTTAACGACTAAACAACAACAACAACAAATTTCAGTTCATCATCACATATCTTAAAGAAGAATAAACATACCAGTTTGGCACAGTGTGCCAGTCAGTGAATATTCCACCTGTACACTGAGCACCACATTCAATCAGATGACCTGCAAGACTGAAAATCATATTTAAATCTTATTGAACTGAGTTTTAAAAACTTAATATCTACTGAGAGTTTCTAGTGTATAATCTTTAGTGTGTAGACAAAGAAACCTTTACTACAATCTAATCTGATATCCTATTGAAACCAACCCTGAAATATCATCAATTAATTAACTAATTAACTAACTAACTTCAGGGATTTTGACCCTTGTATCATTTTAACAGTATTTGGTATTTTCTGAAACAAAGATGACATTTACCTTCCAGATGCTAATAGGTTGAATTCATCTCTAGTCCATCCAAACTAGAAAAATAATGTTTAAAATATTAAGTGAAATAGAATTAAATAGTGAGCTGAACGTTAAAAATCACATAAAATCACAGAGTACAACAGATTCCCAAAGGCTCATGAAAGCTCAGGTATTTCCCAGTTTCCCTTTTTATGCATGCTCACCTGTAGACAATACGAAAGAGGCATTATGGGAATATGTTACCCATGTTATATGTTACCCTTTCATAATCCATCCAATTTTCTTTTTCCCGTTTGTATAAATTGCCTGTGTGACTTCATACAGTAAGCAGAGAAAATGCTCTAGTGACCCCACAATCCATTGAGCCTGACTGTATTGTCTGTGATTTAGATTGTACATTTCACAATTAGACCAGCAAAGGTAAAGGAGGAAGGTAATATCACATATATGCAATATTTCATATATATGGACTTCCCTGTATCTTTAAACAGGACCAATGCAAAACTGTTTCAAACCCCACTTTGTTAATATCAAATAAAAATAAAGAACTTGTGGTTTCTAAGGCAAAAAAAAAAAAAACCTCCACCATCAGATTTTTCAGAACTGTTCATTTTGCAAATTAACTATACCAAAGTACTGGTATCATCTTAAACAATACTTCAGTGCTCTGGATGTTAATTAACTAAATACTTAATTCAAAAATGTTCTTTGGTTGTTTTTTCTTAAGTTGACCATTTCTGCCATCTTGTGGTAAGCGAAATTATTTGCAAGTTGTAGTCAAGGTAATCCAAATGAAAGAAAAGTTAAGTAATTATATTATTTTGAAAAGCAGCACATATTTTTAAAATGCAGAATGGAAAAATAGCATTAACAGAAAATCTCTCTTTGAATTAGATTTTCTTGGTAAAAAGAAAAAGAAATATGTGTACCATACTATTTTTTTAAAACTGTAAGAAACATGTCTCAGTCCCAAACTTAAAAGTTCTGTATATTTCAGAAATTGAATTAACAGTTGCATCAGGGTTGGGGGCATGGGGAGTGTGAGCTGGAAAGAGGAAGAAAAGAAGAAAAGAGAAGGGAAGAAAAGAGAAACTTGCATCCTATGTAGTAGATGTTGTAGCTTTGCTGTTGCAGGAATCACTGTGGATTGTTATTGCTGGGATCGGTGATGGCTGTGTGAATTCAGGTGTGTGATTTTGCTGGAGGGAAAGACAAGTCAAGAGGCAGCAAAAAGGCAATGATTTTTACCTATTACACTGGGAAGAACAAGAGCCACATTATAATGAAAATGCATTAGTGCTTGGTTTCAAGGACTGTAGAGAAAAACAGCTGGAATTGTATAAAAATTCATAAAGATAACTGGTATTTAAATAACTAAGTAAAATGACTAGTAAAAACGAAATTATTTTAAAAATATTGATCCGCACTTACAGAATGAATTAGTGGTCCCAACACAAGGCTACTGTCAACACATCTTCCAATCACCACAACATCTGCTCCTAGATCAAGAGCTCTGCTGATTGGTCTTGCACTGAAAAAACAATATATTTACCCATCAAAATCTTAGGTAGCCTGGCAGGTTCTGGCTGCCAAAAATAACAAAGACTGCAGTTTCTACTTGGAGTGAGAACATTAGCAAAACAAAGATAGCAAAGTGCTCCTTCCCAGGAGAGAGCTCTACAGGAAAATACAAAAGCTTTCCCTTCCTGCCTATCTTCATTAACAGTGTAAAACATTCAGCCCGGTACAGGACAAAAAAGGAGCAATCATGAGCCACGTACATACTCCTTCTCAGGAAAAAAAAGGCTTATTTTTAATCTTGAAATGCCAAAGGGATTGAAGAACTGAAGAAAACAAGCCAAACCAGCAAGTTCAAGTATGTCTTTATGACAACTGGCACTAGGGAGTGCAACCAAAATACTCAAGACCGTGAATAGAGCATGCAGACACACTAAAGTTCAGTAATCAGCCCAACCAACCATCATAGCATCTTTGTGTTTCAAACAAACTATGATGGCTCCACAAACAGTAGTATACATGACAATCCACAGAATGCAATAAACACACAAAGCTCAACAATCCAACTAAGCACATCATAAAGTACTGAATTACCCTTTTTTCCCTAAAAAATGCACTCAGAAGTTTGAAAGAGCCACTGATTAACCAGCCAATTAAAACTACATCAGCACAGAGATTTTGGGGGAGAAAAGACACTATTTGGTTGGCTTGCTGAGCTTAGCTAAGCGTGCATTATGTTTATGCTCTTTTTGTCCTGTTCTCCATGAAACTTTCAAAATGACTTTGAAGATGAAAATACATGATATGCTTAAAGACACTGCAAATCTCAGTCAGCACCAGCAGGAATAAATACCTAAAGTGAGTATTTTAAAATTCTTTAGAAAGAATGACTTCACAGATTATAACCTAAACAAGATGAATTAAAGAGATTTTTTTAATGAAGCATTTCTAGTTTTCTCAAAATGTGAATCAGAGAATGTATTCCTTCTTTTCAGTTTGATTATCATAGCATCACTACTTAGTTAGTATGCACTCCGTCTGCAGTGGATTTATCATAGCTCTTTGACTTTTACACTAGAGACTGCACACATTTCATTAAGCAAACCATCTCACAAATTAAAACAATATTTTTTAGTTTGGCTCAAAAATTAAAAGACTCTACCCAGTGCAGATAAATAAATGCACACTATACAGCGCTTTCTCAGATAACTTTTTACAAAATAAGTATTTAAGGATCATACCCCAAATATACGTTCATGCTCTGAACGTTTTCTGGAAACAGTTTCCCATTCTCCCCTTTTATAATAGTTTCTTTTATGTTGTTTAACTGTAAAACAAAACAAAACAAACTTATGAATTGAATATGAAAGTATTAATTGTATACTGCCGAGACATATACAGCACAATATATGTTATGTACATATTTTAAATATTAATAAAAACAAAATCTTCTCAGTTATGAAACACTAACCAGCACAAGTCTACATTTTTAGAAAAGCATTCAATATTTAACTAACAAACTAAAGAAACTACATAATTTAAAGAATCTCAAAGAAACAATAAACTTCTATCACGTTTTCACAAAATACTTTCCTGTTTCCCCAGTTTGCCATGAAGCCTGAAGTGTTACTAAACTGTAATCTGAGCAATCCTTTTCAACCATGAACAAGCCACAGACAGAGACACAGAAAGAGTTATTGAGAACTACTATATCCGCTTATCTGAATTTAACACTGTATTTAGGCAAGTGAGCAGCTGGAAACAAACCTACTATACAGTGGTACCTCGGTTCACAAACTTAATTCGTTCCGTGACTCTGGTTGCAACCCGAATCAAATTTCCCCATAAGGTTCAATGTAAATACAGTTAATCCGTTCTGACCCCTCTGAATTTGGTTGCCAACTGATTTTGGTCACGTCCCGAATCAAATTTCCTCATAAGGTTCAATGTAATTATGGTTAATCCATTCTGAACCATATGTATATTTTTTTTTAAACCACAAAAATATGACACAAAGTACAGTACGAAGAAAGAAAACGCTAACCTTGCTCGTCGCGACTTCTGGCG